GAGCGACGCATCGGTTTGGTCATGGAGGTGGCTCGCACCTCCATGATCCACGCCGGTGCACCCCATTTTCTGTGGCCGTTCGCCGTGCGCTACGCCGCTCACCAGCTTAACCTGTGGCCGCACCCCCAGCGGCCGCAGGTTTCGCCGACCCTTCTGTGGACCGGGTCCCCTGGTGACGCGTCTGCGTTCCACGTCTGGGGCTGCCTTGCTCACGTTCGTGCCTCTGGCACGGACAAGCTCACTGCCCGCACCCTCCCCTGCGTCTTCCTTGGTTTCCCCCTTGACGCGTCCGACTGGCACTTCTACCACCCGCCGTCTCACCGTTTCTTTCACTCTCGCGACGTCACCTTTGACGAGTCCGTCTCCTTCTACCGCCGCTTTCCCCACCGTGGTCCCCCGGTTACTCCCCCCCTGTTCCTGGTTCCTCCCTCCCTGGTGGCCCCTGCCCCTCCCCCCCCCCGCCCCCCCGTCCGGCCCCCTCTGGTGTGTCTCACGTCACCCCCCTCCCGTCGGTCGTTCCGGTCGACGAGTCTTCTGACTCTGGTAGTCCTTTGGCGCAGTCCTCGCCGTCTGTCCCTCCCCCGGTGTCTCCTCCTCCACCGCCTCCGCAGCCGCCGTCGCCGCAGCTGCTGCAGCCGTCGTCTCCGCCGCCGCCGCCGTCGATGCCGTCCCTGCAGCCGCCGCCGCCGCCGCCGCCGTCGTCGCTGCCGCTGTTTGTGGACTCTGGGGGTGCTGGCGTTGAGGTGGGTACTAGTCCCGGGGCTCCTGTCGGGGCTTGTCCCGGCGGGCCTGGGGGTGGTACCGGTGCTGGCGGTGTTTCGGGCTCTGGGGGTGTCCCTTCTGGGGGTGCCGGTGTGGAGGGTTCGGGAGGTAGCCGTCGCGCAGCTTGTGGCCCTGGCGTTGGTGTTGTGTCGCCGCAGCAGCAGTCCCCGCCGGTGTCCGCCCTCCGTCTGCTCGGCCTTCCGTCCCCTGACCCTGCGCCTGTTCCTCTCCGGCCGTCTTCCCCTCTTCCCGTCTACGGCCCCGTGTTCCCTCCGCCGGACTCGTCCCCGGCTCGTTTTCCCCCTCGTTCCCCACCCGTGTCCCCTCCTCTGTCTCCTGACCCGACGCCGCCCTCTCACGTCTGGTCTCGCCGCCCCTCCCGTGCTCGTCCTGTCTCCCCCGTCCCGCGCACTCACCCTATGTTGCTCCGCTCCCACGCGTCTCGTCCTCCCCCCCTCCCGTCTCCTCCTCCGTCCTCTCTTGTCGTTGCGTCTCCTCCTCTGTCTGACTACTTTCGTGCCGCTCGTCCTCTTGTTCCTCGGGTCCTTGCCTCTCTCGTTACCGACCCGTCTGTTCCAGTGTCGAGTCTTGACGCCCTTGTCGCTGCGGTCGCTGACTTCGCCTCTACCCGCCGCCTTGACTACGCCTCCGCTCTGGTCTCTGACCCTGCCTGTCCTCCGTCTGTCGGGGGTGCTCCTGCCCTCGGCAGTGACGTCCTGGAGGACCGCCAGTTTGAGCTTGCTTTCCTGTCCGAGGCTGCTCCCCATCTCTGTTCCATGCTGCTAGTCCCTGAGGGTGACCCAGACGCTTTTGACATCCCGACCCCTCGTACTTACGCTGAGGCGGTTTCGGGACCTTGGGCCTCTCAGTGGATAGCTGCCATGGAGCAGGAGATGGCATCTTGGAGATCCACCGGCACCTTCGTCGACGCAGTTCCCCCACCTGGGGTGAACGTGGTCGATGGCCGTTGGCTCTTCAAGGTGAAGCGCCCTCCTGGAGAGCCGCCTGTGTTCAAGGCGCGTTACGTGGCTAGAGGCTTCAGTCAGCGCGAGGGGGTGGACTTCTTTCAGACTTTCGCTCCTACCCCGAAGATGACTACTCTTCGGGTTCTGCTACACGTAGCGGCCCAGCGTGACTACGAGCTTCACTCCCTCGACTTCTCCACTGCCTTTCTTCAGGGCAGCCTTCACGAGCAGGTCTACATGCGTCGTCCTCAGGGCTTTACTGGCACCTTCCCCTCTGGGACCCAGTGGCTTCTGCGGCGCCCAGTCTACGGCCTGCGCCAGGCGCCTCGTGAGTGGCACGACACGCTGCGTGCTACTCTTGCTGACCTGCAGTTCTTTCCGTCCTCTGCAGACCCCTCGCTCTTCGTTCGTGCTGGCTCGACTCCGTTCTACATCCTCGTCTACGTAGACGACCTGGTCTTTGCCACAGCTGACAGGGACGCACTGGCCTCCGTGAAGGCAGAGCTGCTGAAGAGAAACACCTGCACTGACCTTGGAGAGCTGCGCCGTTACCTTGGCTTGCAGATCTCCAGGGACAGAGCCGCGCGCACCATCACCCTGACTCAGTCACACTTGGTGCGCCAGGTCCTTCAGAGGTTCGGCCTTCAGTTCTCCTCCGCACAGCCCACCCCTCTTCCTCTGGACCACAGACTCTCCGCTCCAGTTCCTGAGGAGTCGGTAGATCCCAGTGGTCCTTACGCTGAGCTAGTGGGTTGCCTCATGTACCTGATGACTTGCACTCGCCCAGATCTCGCATACCCTCTCAGCATCCTGGCTCGTTTTGTGGCCACAGGCAGACACCGACCTCAGCACTGGTCTGCCGCTAAGAGGGTTTTGCGTTATCTTGCAAGTACATCGGGCATGGGGTTAGTGCTAGGCGGACGCAGGCCAGTGGTCCTTACTGGACACACAGACGCTTCTTGGGCAGACGACGCCGAGACGCTCAGGTCTTCCCAGGGCTACTGCTTTAGCCTTGGCTCAGGTGCTGTCTCGTGGAGAGCTACCCGCTCCTCGTCTGTTGCCCAGTCCAGCTGTGAGGCTGAGATCTACGCCGGTGCCATGGCGGCACAGGAGCTCCGCTGGCTGACCTTCTTGCTCACTGACTTAGGTGAGCGGCCTAGCTCTGCCCCGGTCCTGTACGCTGACAACAGGGCCATGATTCTCCTATGTCAGGAGCCTCGACTCGAGGGCAGAGCGAAGCACATCCAGCTGCGGTACTTCCTCCTGCGCGAGCTACAGCAGCGTCGCCAGGCTCGCGTAGTACACTTGGCCTCCGGTGCCAACACAGCTGATATCTTTACAAAGGCGCTTGCGCCTAAAGATCATCAGCGGCACTGTTTACAGCTTGGTCTGGTTCCTGTAGTCTCTCACTTACTCGGGCTTTGACTTTGTACTGTCGTATATATATATATGTATACACTCAGACTGGACTTGTGTCCTCTCACAGTGGTTGGACTAGTAGTGCCGCCCTGTACTCGTTCTTGCCTTGTCTGTACTCCTTCTGACTGGTCTTTTAGACCCTTGTCTCAGAGGCTGCACTAGTAGTGCCACCCTGAGCTGCTTGTCTAGAACATTCCCCTATGCAGTCCAGGGGGTGTGTCAAACATGTGTAGTTATCATGTTTGTATAGACTGTATAGGGTCACCTTCTAGAGAGTACAACATTTAGGTATATGTTTGTGTACTCTCTCTCTCTCATTATTCAATTCTAGGTTTGATAACAGGTGGCCCAATGCACACATGGGCCGGTGGGAGGGTGGGGAACTGGGAAGATGTGTCGGCATCAGACGAAAATATACGCGCTATCTGAAAATTCAGACGACTGCCTACCCCTAGTTTGAGAATTCAGACAAAATTATAGAGCCAAGATGGTCGTTCATATGAAATTTTAATGGTTGTCAAAAAATCAGATGACACGGGAAAGGTGAGTCTGATTCTCAGACGAATAGACGGATTTCGTCTGCTAACGAGAACCCTGGGGTTCACTAGACCAATCAACCGCTTCCGCAAAGCGTACTACTGAAGCTCAATCCTGAACAGCACACCGACCACATTGGATCGCTTCACGCAGTTTCGCCATTGCCCTCCGCGCTACTCTGCAGTTCCATTCATAACACAGGCAGAATTTTGAAGCCCACACTGGTAACCAATGCTGTGGAAAAAACCATTTCAGTGGTGAACTTTGCCGAAACTGTTAACAGTTGCACTTTTTAAAAGTGCAACTCATGTCCTCACCATTCCCTAGCGTGCAACTGCTACACTTGACCTCGACCAGCCCTTCACTTGACCCTTATTTCTCTGTTATCTCATCACTTCTTCCAAATCACTTTGTATTATTTTTCTTAAATAGCCTTTTTGTACGGCTTTTGAAACGTGTACTTGGGACTTGCCTCCAGCTCCCGCAGGCCTTCAGGTCTTTCAGGTATGCCTCGTACTCTTCGCGTACCTTCCACGTGAAGGGCGCGAATGCGAGGGGTTGGACCGAATATTGTGGAAGGATCCATCCACATGGGACCCTTTCATTGCCACGCACTGCCAGCTTACCAAACCTGATTGGCTGTGCTCCCTCTTCCTTTACCTTCAATTCGCCAACAGGGAGGGTTGCTCCCCGCTAGAGGGGTTTCTCGCATTTCAAGCCACACGGCACGCACGGACTTGTCGTTGATGGACCCTACGGAAGCCGTCAGATTCAGCAGACCCTGGGTGGGCGATGTGTTCTTGTTGGCAGAAGCGGCAGCAAGGTCGTCCATCCCCCCGTTTCAGCCATCTGCGCCGCAAAATACTTCAGTGCTTTGATTGTCCAAGCTTGGCTACAGCTTTGTTCATAGCGTCAGGTTGATGGGTGTACAAATGTGAGAAAGCCTAAACCGCAAAGCAAAGACAAACCTGGTCCGGGCCTGCCTCCGAGCCTACATCACCTGTTTTCGCGCCGCTTCAATTGCCCACGAGGCAAGTTCCAGTTGGTTCCTGCCACGAGAAATCTTCCAAAACCCGATCTCACAAGCTTCTCCAACAAGAAAGGCCTGTTGTGCACCGGCGAGCCTCTTTCCAGGGCTTGGAAAAGGCCGCGCCTCCAGGTTCGGCTCGCTAAGCACGTCTACAGTAGCAGCTTCAGCGCCCAGCCCCGAGTTCCCAAACCGTCACCCAGAGCCCAGAGCACCAGCAGCACACGCACAGCACTGTGCATTTCGTTGCTGGGTCTGTGAACAACCGCCCTCCACAATTTCTGAATTCCACTAGCTTCGACGCTTCTTCCTCATTGCCCGACGGCGAGGGCTGGTGCTGGGCCTGGATTCCAACAAAGCTGAAAGCACCAGGCTGAAAAGGCATTTCATCTGAGAATCAAGGCCCATCCCCCCTTCGGAACTTGTACACCAGCTAGCTCCTTCGGATCTTCACGCCGTCACAATGAGGAACGGGGCGGCAGTCATGCTCCCGCTTGTCCTGCTCCTCTTGGGATCTTCATGGTCCGCTTGCACGTCTGCGGATTCCACGTTTGGCGTCGCTCCCGGGGCGTCGACCTTGGAAAAGGACCTCTCTTCCGCGGGACTCACGGGATTCGTGAGCCTCCTCAAGCAGGCGGGGCTGATGGCGGAGCTTGAGCTCCGCGCGCTGGCCGGATCCGCCTTGTCGCTCTTCGCGCCGACCAACGACGCGCTCATGCGGGTCAACCCCGCGCTCCTGGCGTTCCTGAGAATGCCGCGCAACGACGGGATGCTCCGCGACGTGCTGCTATACCACGCCGTCGAGGTGCCCGTGTCGGCGTTCGCGTGGGAGGGGTCGTACCGCACGCTGCAGGGCGCCGCGATCCAACTCCACGTGGACAATCTCTCGTTTTGGGTGGGCGACTCGACCGTTAAGCAGTTCAATGCGCGCTCTCTCTCCATGGGCCTCAGCGACGAGGGCGCAGAGAGGGGCACCTTCGTGGTTCACTCGATCAACGGGCTGCTCGTGCCGCCGTTCCTCGAGGAAACTCTATCGCAGACCGATCTCACCTCTATTCCTGGAGAAGACATGTACTCTGACGAGCAAGACAGCGAAGGGTTCTTCGGGCTGGACGCCAGGCGGTCCATGCTCGCCGGTGCGCCGTCCTCCATGCCACTCCCAACCCCTCCTCCCTCACCCGTGCCGCCGCCGCCAAGCCCCGGCGTGCCAGTCGAGCCGCTCCCCGGCTCTCCTCCGCCGCCTGCTGTCACCGCCCCTCCGCCTCCCAAGTCTGCTCCTGGTACGTATGTCCCTCCGCATGCGTGTAGGATCTCGCTGTGCCTGCGCGCGAGAGAGGCTTGTGTCGCTCCTCTTTCTTATGGCCATTGGCAAGTGTTTGCTGGTTCTGGTTGCGATCTGGTACATCTGTTGCAAGACGGAATTGTTGAATCCCTCCCCCCCCTGGACCCTTGGTTTGCGTTTCCAGGTTCCCTGACCTTACGGCAGTTGCTCCCGTCAGTGGCCTTCGCTGTTTTCACCGGCTTGGCATTGTTGCCATAAGGCGCATCGTCCATCTCACTTCCTTCTCGTCCCCATCCGTGCGTCGGATCGGGGATCGTGTCACCAGTCAACGTCGCTGTTCTTGCCATTATGCGTCATGCCTGTAAGCACCTCGATAGTCCACTTTTTGTGGCCTTGAACCTCATCTGGGTAGTCATGCGGAGGGCTTTGTCTTAGAGGCGCTAAATTAGTGGAGGATGCATATTGATGGTTGAAACGAAAAGCTCATTTTCAAAAGCCACTGTCATCCTAACAACACTCTAATTGACCCTCGGGTGTGTGCTAATCAGAAAATGCGAAACATTAAGGTCTTAAGGACTGAAAACAATCGTACAGGTAGCGTCGCCCTGAAACCATGGATTATGTTATGATTGGGACTGCCGAGTAGCGCGGAGGGCAGTGGCAAAACTGTGAACGAGGGAATTACAATAACATGATAGACAATATAAGAAATAGAAAACCCAGGGTGATCCTGGACGTAAGATCGGAAGGTTCGGGAAAGGTATCGAAGGGCCTCGATGTGTCGAAGCGAGGTCCGGAAAGGCCAAGGAGGCCCGAACTGAAAGGTCTGGAACCCGGTCGCTGGTTCGGGACTGTTCGATTCGTACGCCTTGTAGCAAGCCTCAGTAAGGAATTACTAATTCCTTACAAAGTAGCACCTTCGTAACCGGCGACGAGAATGACAACAAGGGCTACCATTTGCGACTGCTCGCGAATCTATGTTTCCTGTGAGCTCACACAGTGCCTGACGGCAAACCGACGTGCGACTGAATGCGAAGTTGCGAATACTCGTGGCGAATCGAGCGACCAATGCCCGGATGTGATTTTCGGAACTTTCCCAAGCAGCAACATCAATACGCCCAAGCTTGCAAGGTCAAGAAAACACATTTCCGGGCAGAATAAAAAAACCGCTTCCGAAACCCGAAGATGTGCTTTCTTGTGGTGAGTGACCAGCTTGTTCCGAGGCTGCTTGTTTGAATCTGTACAGTACGGTTTTGTTTTCGACATTCACAATGTTAGGCATTTGAACGGTACAGCGCGCCACTCAGCCCAACCCCGACAACGACAACAGCATCCCACCACCACATCCTGTATCAGAAAACAGGCCACCGCCCCTACGACAGTGCTCTGTAGGTTATTGCGATGGAGAGCGGTGAAATGCGTTTACGAGAACCCCAAAATCCATCACCACCCTGAGTCGTGGATTGGGCAATCGTCCCTGCGAAGAGCAGCACCGTGGAGCAGAGTGGAGACGAGATAACATTTCCTCGAGTTCACTGTTCGTGGGGCGAAAGGTGGTCGGTCACATTTCTTCGGGGTGCTACCTAGCGTAGCGAGCAGCCCACCCTCACGATTCGCACTGTCAGAATCCCGAAACAAGGAGAGTCATTTCACAAGCTCACAGCAACCACTCACTCCAACTCTTGCGCCCCGAACGGTTCCGTCAAGTGACAAGAGATGGAAAATCTCCCAGAGACAGAGGACTTCGCAAGTGGTTATTTCCCCATGGATGGCGACTGTTTCCCGCGAAACACGACCTGGAGTCCCACCACCTCCCCCCCTTACTGCTCGCCGCGGTCCTCGCCGCCACTCGCGGCATTCCCTAGGGCGCTCGGCGCGCTTGCGCTGGTCGCCAGCAACGTGGCCTTCTGGGTGCACGGGCAGGGCACGGGGTTGACGCTACTCCTCGCGGTGATGTGGTTCAAGGCCGCCCAGCTCCGTTTCAACGAGGCGCGGAGGATCCTCAGGCAGCGCTCTAAAGTGCGCGACGCCGCTTCGCTGGATCATGCTGCTGGTGCTATCCACCCAGACAACCAACGCTCTCACGACGCGCAGCAGCACGCGCAGCAGCAAGCGCCGTGGCACGCGCAGCGGCGCGGCGTGCTCCCCAAGGTGTCCGTGGTTCTCGCCGTAAAAGGCTCCGCAGGCGACGCGGGCATGAGCAACTGGCGCTCGCAGGTCCGGAATCTCTACGGCGGCGCGACGGAGTACATATTCTGCGTCGAGAGCGCGCGCGACCCCGCGTGCCGCGCGGTCAAGGCGCTCCAGCGCGAATTGCGCGGGACTGCGGAAATACGGCTCGTCGTGGCGGGCCTCGCGTCGCGCTGCTCGCAGCAGATCCACAACCAACTCGCCGGTGCGAAGCGCGCGAGCGCGGACTCCAAATACCTCCTTTTCTTAGACGACGACATTCAATGCCACCCGGGGACGCTGGGCCTGCTGGTGAGCAACATGGAAGCGAATCCAAACGCGCTCGTCTGCACAGGCTACTCGTTCGACATCCCGCAGACGCGCGACTTGTCTCTCGCGGCATACGCGGCCATGGCGTACCGCGTGCCCATCCAGCTCGCCATGGCGTCGGGCGGCAAGCAGATCCCCGTGTGGGGCGGCTGCATGATGATTCGCCTGGACGACCTGCGCGCCGATAGGTACGGCATGGCGACGGCGCTCAGCGCGCACGGGTACAGCAACGACCTGATCCTCTCCGCCGTGGCGGCCAGCAACGGCCGCGACGTCGTGTGCCCCGCGGCGGCGATCTTCCCCGGGAGGCTGGCGGGGCGCTGGACGTTCCGCCGGTACTGGAACTACGTGCGGCGGCAGACGTACGCACTCACCACCTTCCGCTCGCCCGTCGCGCTCGCGCTCAACTCTCTTGGGTTCGCGCTGTACGGGTATGGCGCGTTCTGCCTTGTCGCGTCTCTCCTGCCGTCCGCGCTGCAGGTGTCTCTCGCGCTCGTGTCGCTGGCCCGGGGAGGAGCTGTCTTCTCACCTTGGAATCCGGACTGGTCCCGAAATCCCGGCATCATCAGCCCCACCAGTCTCACTGACGTCAGCAGCGCCAGCAGCGGCGCCAGCAACGGCGTCGTTAGTGCAGCCATGGGGTTTGTGCTGGCGAACGCGAGTCTGCTCACCTCCCTGGTCTACTGCGCCGCGTTCATCCTCTCAACGCTCGCCGTGATCTGCCTCTTCCGCGCCACCATCGCGCTCTGCAACCTGCTCTCCCCCGAAAAGCCCCCCATCCGCGCGGGGGACATCAGCCTGGCGCTGGGCGTGGCGGGGATGCTGCTGAACCTGGCGGTTGTGCCCGTGGTGTCAGTGTACACGCTGCTGCAGCCCGCCATCACGTGGGCTGGCATCACGTACGTGCGGCGGAGGGGACTCATTGTGCACGTCAGGCATCCACGGAAAGAGCGGCAGCAGGGGCAGCAGCAGGGGGGGGATGGGGAGGAGTGGGAGGGGAAGGGAGCAGGAGGAATGGAAGAGGCGGAGGGGGAAGAGGAGGACCCAGAGGAGGAGGAGCACCAGCAGTGCTTGCCTCCCCTTGCGGCGTCACCAGTCTCTAGCTGCAAGCCAGCAGGATTGGTGGCGCAAGACTAGACAGGCGTCAGGCCGGGCTAACCGTTCTCCCTGGAGGGAAGAGCTGCATGGCTCTGTGTAGAGTGGAGGATGCGACAGCGAGGTTCGCTTGCAGCGAGGAAGCCAAATACAGATGGTAGCTGCTCTTTGGCATGGACTTGCTGACGGGCCGCTAGGGCTTAGAGTCAGCCCGACAAGGGGTAGGGGCTAGCTAACACATGAGGGCACTGCTAAAGGCACAATATTTTGGAAGATGATTTAGAGGGGTCAACTAGAGAGATAGGCTAACAGAGTAACTTCTTGTATGTATCCCTGTAAAGATACCGTAGCTCACATTCTCTCTGGCACATACTTCCTCGAACCCTCTACCGATGTGTGCACGTCGGATTTGATAGAGAAGCGGACTCCAACCAACCAACCAATCAACCCAAGGTTCACCCTTGCTTGATCACTGCCCACTGGATGATCAGAAGCAGCACAGCTCACTACCGGTACATCAAAACACAAAGCAGCACCTTCTTGGAACTCAACACAGGGGAAGTATCCGTAGTATGTACGATGCGCCACAAATGCAGGAAGCCAGGGAGCATGCACAACGCCCCAGTTATTTCCTTAAATCACCTACTCAAGGCAATGCCTCACTGGCTGGGAAATGCGGCCCCACATTCTGCATAACAAAGTCTCTCATGTCGTCCGTGGGCTCCATCAGCGCCAGCTTATAAGGGGGATTAAACACCGGCATGGACCCAAAGAACTCATGGATCACCGACCCGTTCACCAGCCGATCGCCGTACGATCTGATCGTGCCCGTATTGTCAAAATTGGGGTAATACAGCGCCCCATTGAACCACGGCGTCGCCTCCTTCTTGGTCGAAGCTATGAAGTAATTCCGCTCGGATCGTATCCGTCCGTACACGCGCGCGCCCAGGCAGTAGTACGTCCACGCGGTGAACAGCGAGTTGGCCACGTGGCACGAGCCCCACCGGCAGTGCGGCTGCCGCTGATGCGAGCGGTCGTACCAGTTCCTATAGAGTGTCACGCGGAGGTTGCGGTCGTAGTAGGCGTCGTCGGCTGCGCCGAGCAGCTGCATGAAGTTAGGGTTGTGCAGGTAGCTGTTGGAGACGGTCACATCCGTGGCGCCGTAGACGACGCTGATGGTGCCGCGGTCCGCGTTGTACACCTTGAGGTGGTCCACCCACACGCGCGTGGTGTTGCGGATGTGCATGATGTCCGTGTCGCCAGGGATGTCGCCCACTGGGGGGGAGAGGGGGGGGAGAAAGTGGGGGTGGGGGAGCGACGGGAGAGGCAAGAGGAGCGTGGAGAGGAAAGGGGTAAGGGGAGAGGTGAGCGTGTAGGCAAAATTGTGCAGGGATGTGCATGATGTCCGTATCACTGGGGATGTTGCCCACTGTGTGGGGGGGGCGGGGAGAGGGAGGAGGGGAAGGGGGAGATGAGGGGGGGGGGGGGGGAGATGATAGGCGAGAGGGGTGGAGAGGAGCAAGTTCAGAGGTGAGAATGCAGGCACGGTGGCTGGGCACTGTGCAGACTTCTGAGTCGACACTGTGCATTAACATTGGCGGAGCGACGAAGAGGGACGTGCAAGGGAGCGGCAGAGGCACAGTGAAGGGGAAGGGCGAGAGCAGACAGGAGCGGGGTGGTGGGGCTTTGAGAAATGGCGGGAGAAGAGAATCCGGGAAAAAGCGGGAGAGGGAGAGAGAGAGGGGAGGGAGGGGGGGGGGGGGGGGGGTGGGGGGGGGAGGGAGCGAATGCAGCAAGTGAAAAGCGGGAAGGGAAAGTCAGAGAGAGGGAGTGAGGGCTGGTAAATAGAACCTAATTAGACTGCCCTATGACTCACCCTATCTACATTCAGCCACTGTTCACCCTGCCACTCATGCACTCGCCCACGCACCCGTGCACCCATTCGGCCACGCACCCATTCGCCCATGCACCCGTGCACCCTTGCATCCATACGCCCTTGCATGCACGCACCTTCTAGGTTATTCACGATCACGCTGGAAAAATTCTCCGTACAAAAACCGCGTGAACCAAGACTATTTTTTAGGCGCCTCGAGAATCGCCCTTGCATGTGCTCACCTTCTAGGTTATGCATGATCACGTTCGAGACGCCGTAGACTATAAGCGGCCCGCCCGTGATCACTATTTGATGCCCGCGCCCGTCTATAGTAGTGTCCGAGTTTATGTACAGCGCCTGCACAAGCGTGATCTTCATAGATTTCGAGAAAGTGATGTACACTCCGGCGGTACAGTACTTCATCGCCCATCGCAACGACCCCTCGGTCCACCCAATGCTCACGTCCTCCTCGGTGGTAACCACGTAACCCGTTGGATATTTCCCGCCGCAGGTCTTCGCCGCGCCCCCCGTCACACTGCTGGTCGCAGCGTAGCCCATCGCGCACTTGTGCAAGTTCGCGCGGCCGGCACCAGCTGTCGTGTACGGGCAGTCTGGCGAAGTCTCTGTCACCGCAGTAGGGGTAACAATTTCGCCATCCGTCGCCGTCGTCGTCGTCGTCGTATCCTGCTTGTTGGGCGACGACGACGACCCGGGGTTGGCGATATTCTTCTTGAGCTTGCGTAGGCGCTGCTGCACCTGCTCCTGCTGCCACGCTACCTTGTCCGCCAGCCGCTGCCCTGCGCCGCTGAACAGGGGCGCGGAAAGCGCCGCTTCGTCCGCGTCGAACCACGCCCCGAAGTTCCGCTGCTGGTCCAGCAACTCCCGCCCGCCGATCCCCCCGTGATGAGCGGACGCGGGGGAAGCGGCGGCGGCGGGGGGAGAAGGCGCGGAGAGGAGTAGAGAGAGGAGAGGTAGGAGGAAGAAGAGGCGGAAGGGAGCCATGGTCATGGCGTTGGCGTTGACTGTGACAGAACGGAGATGAGGGGGTGGTTGTGGCAGAAGGTTAGGGTGGTGCAGTAGGTCGTTATAAGAACGCAAAAGGCTTAGAATTCAGGAGCTAATTATGCGCGGCGCGTCGAGGACGAGCGAGAGGGGCTGTCCTTAGGTCACTAACGGGCATGTGCGTGTCTGTATGTCGAGGCTGTGGTGAGTCGGTCAGTCGACACCGTGCATGATGTGATACTAACGGTGGGTGGGGCGCAAGGAATTCACCATCCTGATTTCTGATAGTCGGGAGTAGACTGTACTTAGGACGAGCTGTGCGGAGGGCAGCAGTGAGCGCGTGAGGGATCGAGGTGCCTGTCCCCTTGCTGCAACGCGCAACGAGAGATGCTGGCTACCGCAATCCCGACGTCTATTTACCCCCCCACCCCCCTCCCCCCCCCCCCCCTCAGCTCGCTCGATCGATTTTCGGCACCGCTTTGAAAGGTCGGCCGGAAAGATCCGATTTCAGCGCGAGGAACCCAGCGGCGAGGTGTACTGTAGTATCGAGGCGAGAGAGATTGATGCTAGCGTGCTGATGGCTGTTAGGGAGGTATATACGGCCCAAGTCGAGTTTTAAGTGCTTGAAATGAACCTGGACTTTTCTAATCGTCGGATGATGGATGAATGGATGGCATGAGAGGAAGAGAAACGGGACAGCCATGAGGAAGCTATGCGAGCGCTACGGCGTACCGAGACGCGAATCCATGTGCTATTTCTGTACCATCCCTCGAAATGGTGGGTTGGTCGGTCGGAATGAAAGGCGGGCTGTGAGGGGGTGCGTCTTTGAGAAATAAAGAGCTGGGTGGCCGGCGGAGATGGTTAGGGAGGGGGAGTGAAAGGGGAGAGGGTGGGGGAGGGAGGGTTGTCTGGAAGCGGGGAGGGGAGGAGGACGGGAGGGGGGAAAGGGGGAGAGTCAGGGACTGGCTGGGTGTTGCCCGAGCCGAGCGATGGTGGGCCTGGCGATGGGTCCGCGGTGGTTGCTTCTGTACCCAACGCACGGCGGAGGGGTTTGGTTTGGGAATTGGCACGACGGTGGTGCAAGAGCCGTTTTGGTTTGGCGAGGTGCTGCCGGGAAGCAGATGCCACCCAACCAACCCTCCATTGTCGTTCCCGTGGCGTGCGATGGACGAGTCGCGAATTGGATGTGTTGTGCTTGGCCCGCAATGTCGCAACGCAACCAAGTCTCACGAACAAGGGTATTTATCTCCCGGGTAACCAACATCCGAGGTGATGACGTCAGCAGTCACCTACGTGGCTTCACGGTAACCATCAGATCGACTTCGTTCCAGCATGGTACCAATTATCCCTACATGGTACCAATTTGTACGCGGCAGATTCCCTAACTGGTAACCGTCAGTTTCAACGCTTCCGAACTGCCCCCACGTGTTTCGTGCACGCCCTGACGAAGTTCGCGAAGAAGAACATCTGGTACAGAGTATTTCGCAGGTGCGCTTAGGCTGAAATGTTACGCAGCATTTTTAAATCAACATCATATAAAACTATCATTATGCAAACTATCATTGTTCGGTAATTTTATTACATAGTTTAACTTTAACAGGATTTTAATTATTAAAAACATAAATCATTCGGATCTTTTCATATCAGTGTAATGTTTGGGGCTCGTAGCATAGAATGTAAAAAGAACACTCGCAATGAACTCGTGTCAAGGCATTCCTACTATAATTGCTCGACATGCTCATTGTTATAAATTACTCCGTAGTATAGTGCAGAATAATATAATGGAGATGACTACAATCTCTGTCAATACAAATGAGGCCTAGGGCTTATATAATGCTAGTTGACCAAGCTTGAACCTTGAGGGCGAAATGGTCAAATTGCATTCGGGGCGCCTAGGTAACACGCTCGGGGGCGATTAGTCGGAGGGGGTGGTTGAGACTTGAGGACCGAGGCTGCGGACGTGTACTGTTCGTGATGCTCGCAGTGGCGAAACCCGTTGATGATTCATGAAATCCTTATACACATTATGAAAGAGAACGCATGAACACTATAAACCACTAGATATTGCCTGACACATTATATTAATGGTACGTATAGAAACTACATATATAGTGTTTTTCCATTTATTTCAGGTATTAATAATTCAAAAAAATTCAAAATGGTATGAAAACTGCTAAACGACTAAACATGCATGGTATACATAATGAGACTGTTATATGAGATTAGTTCAAAAATGTTGCGTAACATTTCAGCCTAAGCGCACCTGCGAAATACTCTGTACCAGATGTTCTTCTTCGCGAACTTCGTCAGGGCGTGTACGAAACACGTGGGGGCAGTTCGGAAGCGTTGAAATTGACGGTTACCAGTTAGGGAATCTGCCGCGTGCAAATTGGTACCATGTAGGGATAATTGGTACCATGCTGGGACGAGGTCGATCTGATGGTTACCGTGAAGCCACGTAGATGACTGTTGACGTCATCACCTCGGATGTTGGTTACCCGGGAGATAAATACCCCACAAACAATGTTCCCCTGATGCGAGACGAAACTCGTCGTTCATGCAAGTGCGGAATCATCGTCGCAAACATCGTCGCATGGTGTGCACTGTGCACACGCCGATGCATGCGACAACCGTTCCCGTCTCCTTCTGCAGGGGGATTCGTGAACGCATTTCCGTGGAACACAATAGGCGGGAGAATGGGGGGTGTGGAGGCCTGTACTCGCAACAAACCCAAGCCGATTCTAGCTATGAGCAATTACCAAACCCCAACCAAGATGAGATATCACTTTGTTGATATGAAAAGGTCAATAACATAGAACAACCACATTCTAAGACTTCAGACAATATTATACTAGAAAGTGTAGTAGGTAACAATATTTGCATCCAAGCACAGTAACAGTAATTCTAGGATGAAGACGAGAGGGTGAGTACAACCTGAATTTCTGATCCTGGGTGAACATTGTAATGTGCGAGCAACCGACCACTTGCCATCTCGTTGCCAGCAAGAAATAACCTCTGCTGCTCCACCGGAATGTGCTCTTGCTCTTGCACCCGGGACTTCACATCATCAACAGTGGCATTGGCGTCCACCTCAATTGGGATAGTCTGACCGCCTGTCTTCACAAACACCACCATCTGGACATAAAGGCAGAGAGAAAATGAAGCACAAAGTGGGATGCCTTAAGTCGGACGGCAGGGGGAAATCAGCAACATCTGAACAAACCTGGCACGTTGTTGACTGAAATCAAGTGCACAATATCCAGCAAACTTAGATGGCTACAGCTGAGAGCCACAGGAGCAGCCACCAACCTAGTAACCATGGGCTTGAGCAGTCCGCCTTGGAGACATCCAGGCTGAAAAATGTCACTATCTGTTCATCCGCCCTACTTACCGCATCGGAATCTCTCTTGCTGGCTAGAGAGTCTCTCCTGCTGACCGGCTGGCTGCTCACTCCATCCATGCTGCGTTGAGACGCCGACGACAGCCGCACACCCTGCTGCCCCGACGACTGCTGCTGGTAGTGGTGGTGGTGGAGAGGGGCGGTTCTGAGGAATTGATCACAACCTATGAAGAGATGCAAAAAAAAGGTAATTAATGCCGTCTTTCTGTGTAGGAAAAAAAAAAAGAGGGTGTATAGGAGCAGAAGCAGGAACAGGAACAGGAACCAGTCCCAGTAGAGTTTCGGCACTATGGTGGTTCGGACCGTTTCGGCACGGCGCCAAATCTAATTTACCAAGTCATTTGCTCAGGAACCAGTCATTTGTTGATATTTGAAAAGCACGTGATTGCCTTCCCTAAACTTCCTCACAACTGTTCGTACTGCGTTCCACTACGTGCAACCCTAGCCTACTGCCATGATGCCAGACTCCATTCCCACTCACCCGTCCGCCTGCGGGGGACACGAGGCACAGCGCGGGCGCGACGACGAACAGCTTCTCCGGCGCGCCGTCGCGCAGGAAGCGCCAGACGTCCTCGTCCGCCAGCTCTGTGTCTGGGGAGCTCTCCGGGAAAATGCGCAGATTCGCGGCGGAGCAGTGCGCCAGGTCGCGTGCGCGGCGGCGCTGGTGAATGGTGTCGCGCAGCGAGATGGCGACATCCTCGGGGTCGGGCTCCAGATACACCTCCACCCGATCTACCTTCCCCACGCGGTCACCGGGGTGCGACGAGCCGTTGGATGAATCGAGAAACAGATCGTATTTGACTGAAACGACCTGCCCAAGGGAGGCCATAGTGTTACGCCTGAAGACTGTGACTGTGCGGGGCTCGAGCGAATAGACGAATACACGGATGGAAGGAGCCTGGTTTGCGGAGCTCGCCTGCTGTCAAATCCGTATCTCCCTTGAAGCGCAGGGGGGTTGTTTTGGGGAGCTGATTTTCTACTGCCAGGACGAAGAGGCTGTTAGGAGTAAATAAAGGGGGGGGGGGGGGGGGGGGAGAAAAATCACCCCGAACCTGGGCAGTAGGTTGAGCTGCTGTGTTGAGGGGTGCAGAAGAGGCGAGGCCTGCGACCGCGACGCAAATGAACAGAACCCAGAAGCCGACTGACGATTTCACACACAAGTTAAAGCTCAATCCACCATGTAAGTGGAATTAATGTTATGCTGCTACCCCTCGCCAGTCCCTTGTGCCGTTCCACAAGCTCGAGGTGATGTGACAGTGCAGGAAGTTAGCAAGCGGTGCAGGAAGTTAGCACACTAAGGCTAGATCTGACTTCTGAAGACAGAATCCGAGGGAATGGTGAATTGAGAGGATGGGTGGGGACGGTGATATCACTCATCGCGGATTTCAAAGGGGCTCAAAAAGGAAATGAATGGGCACGGAGTGGTGCACCTCGGTGGTGTCAGAACAGACTGGTGACGGGTGAGTGCAATGATGACAATATTCTCGTCATTGTCGACCTTGATGTTGCACTTGGTGACTCTGATGCCATGTCACACGCGCAACGCTTACAAGAACCAACTATTCCAATAAAAGTGGATTACAAGATGGCTTTCGCATAGCTGGGATAATCAGTAGCTCTCCTCCCTTCATAATTTTCCATCGAATATGTTTATATATTATCTGGTCACCAGGTTTAACATTTAGCCCGCCTAAGATATTTGAACTTATGACATGAATATTTAATCAAAGCTGTACCTAGGTGCAGCTCTATGTTATTACATAACAGATGCTTCTATGGAAAGTAATCATATATCTGACAGGCCATACTCAATCTGGGAAGCTCCAAAGATTGCACAGTGAAGTCGACTTGCGCGGAAGGAGACATCACCGTACATCCAGTCAACATATCTGCGGCTCGTCCAATCGCTCCCTGCGATCCGGGTCCCCTCTGTGAATGTTTCCTCGCTGGGACGGAACCTCGGGCTGGCTATCCTTCAGTGCACCCAAACGCAAATTTCCAAATTCCACACCACCTGATTTCAGCCCATCCCATCCCACTCCATCCCATCCCAACCCATTCCATCCCACGGGTCCATCACGCCTCACCCACGACTGCTTGGAGAGCTGGGTTCCAAAATGCACGTTGTACAGTGCGCCCCGTTCACTGAGGGTGCAGCAAAATGCAACATTTTCTTTTAGCACTGTGTCTTGTTCTGCATCCACAAAGATACTGTACAGATCCGAGCACGCAGATGAACCTCGCCCTAGTAACCTACTTGGCGAAAAAATTAAGCCCATAGCATTAGTCTACGTTGGCGTCCTCCCCACCCCCACAGAGCTAGAACTTCTACGATTATACTCGCACGCGGCTCCCGCATTCGCGTAGTACGTGGGTTCTCCTTGCGATGGCGGCTTCCTGGCTACTGTCGCATCGTCGCACGGTCTGCGTCGCAATGCTGCTCGTAGCGCAGCTGGCTGCGGTGGTCGCAGCGACCAGCGAGTTCGTC